ACTGTACATCGTAAGAACAGTAAAGTAATTAACCCAAAGAAGGGAAGTGGCAATCACTAGCTCCCGCTCTGTCTTTCTCACCAGTACATACCGTTCTAAGAATGGGGCACTAGAGGGAGGCAAAACCCAAATTGCACCAGAATGTGACAAGGTGGGATGGTCTGGAATGTCCAGTTTAATAAAAACGTGCAGCTGTCCCATAGGAAACCTTACCTTCAGCCACGTCAAGTACTCTGCTGGGTCTGGCTTGAGGTGATCACAGGCTCAGAGATCTCAAAGGTTTTCACAATCTCCTGGAAGACAACAAAGAGCATTTGGGCGTCGGGTTTATAGCAAACCAGGTCAGAATTACCCAGAAACCCCCAGGGTCAACGTGCAGAGCTTTACCTCCCAGTCACGATAACTCAAAGCTATAATTCCTTGATTCCTATTTTGGGTGTTTTGGTCAATGTGCTCACTTTCTTCATTAATATTAATGGGCTCTGTGTGAAACACAAAGTTTTCAAAGGTTATCGAATCAGAAGAGACAATCTGAATTGAAACGGATGAATAATAGGAATGAAACTTTTATCAAGAAGATCCTTATAATATTACATACTTATTAGGATTTCATGTATCATCGAGTTGTAATATTATTACCATAGCAAATCCCATTTACTTCCATTAAAAAAAAACATATAGTAACACATTCCAATCATTTGAAAAACTCCACATATCTACACATATGTACAGCCACAGAGCTAAGCCCTAGTGAGTCCAATATGAAACTGAGAAGCATACAACTGTGATAAAAGTACTTAATAGTCTCTACTGGAGACCTTGAAAGAAAAAGAGTAATGGAGAGGGTGAAATTATTCAATTAATAATTAAAGATTCTCGCAGGGAGAAAAGGAGCTGGCATCAGGAGAAAAAAACAGAAAGAAACTTCAAAAATAACTGCAATTACAAACTTTCTAAATTCAAATTTTGAGGGAAATATCATTCCTTGTTAATCTTTACAAATGTTGAATCAATGACATCGATGAATCCATCGGTTTTAAATGATGACCATGTTTTCAGTTAAGCAAAATACAGCATTATAAAAATTTGTTACGTAAAATGAAAACTCATTTACATTAGTCAAACACATTTCATAAACACTAATAACAAATATATTTCCTCAAAAACCAATTTTTCTGAACATAGTTTCACTTACCTATTATCGGCAGTCGGTCTTGGTCAAGTTTTATTCTTGCAAAACCATCCTAAAACACAAAAATGACATTAGGCAAAGACTAACATTAAGGTTCAAAACTTATAACCATTGCATGACAAAAATTACTCAATTAGAAAACTCTATACTTCAGGCAATGAAAACATAACATTAATGATGGACAAGACTTGGACATCTTCCTTAGCATGAGCTCTCTCTCAGGTTTCTTACCCAGGCACAGCCTCCATCCTGAGAGTCTCTTAAATAGAACTTTAATTGGCTTGCCTCTTTAACTGATTTATACATATTTTTGAATACTCCACATTTTATTATGCATAATTCTATCATTTACCAATAACAAAATATGCTTTTGTTATTGGGGGAAATACTTTGGTCAATACAAGGTTTTGGCCTAAGGTTAAGATCAAATTCATCTGACACTATGCAGGAAAGCAACCTGATAAGACTCAAGGCATAAAGGCAGTCTAAAGCAAATTTCCATGAGACATTTTTTGACCTTCTATTTTTTATTTCAAACTTCAGAGTTACAAGACTACTGTAAAAACTCCTTTATAGCCTTTACCCAATATCACCAATTGTTTAAGTTTTGCCACATTCACTTTATCACTAACTGTACGTATTATTAATTTTTGAGAGTGAGTGATAGACAACTTGACCCCTTCCCCTAATACTTCAGTGTGTACTTCTTAAGAACAAAGATACTCTTACATAGCATGACAACTACCAAATTCGGGAAATTTAGCATTCATGCCCTACTGTTATTTAATCTATAGGTTCCATATGCAAATATTGCCAATTCTTTCAGTAAATAATTTCTAAAACGTAAAAGCAAGCACACAAATTTTAAATTTGTTTCTTGTTTTAGCTGGTTTCTTCTGCCTACAGGTCAATTAATATTTTGCTACTATGGGTCTAAAATGCATACTGATTCATACAAAAAACTTTGCCAGCTCCCATCTACTTTTTTTTATTATTTATCCTTTTAAAAGCACATATAAGCAATTAGAGAAATAAATCTTACCCTTACAATGAAGGAAACATGAAAGATGTTTTCCACCGTACGGGGGAAAGATTGTGGATCAATCACAAAGTCAAAGAAAGACATAGGGGTATCAGCTATAGACAAAAAAGAAAAAAAAACACTTTAAGACAAGAAAAGGATTTTTGCTTATCAATAAGACCAATACCCTCTTAGTGATAGAGCAAAAAAATGGGCCCTCATTCTGTTGTGGGAGTGTAAATCAATATAATCCTGCTAGAGGGCAATGTGGCATGTCTATTAAAAACGTGTGCCCACGGACCTGGAACCCCTCCTCAAAAAAGCTGTCCTGCAGAAATATTAGCACACATGCACCAAGTTGCATGCCCAGATGTTTCACTTCTGCAGTTTATACATGAGTAAAATGCTATAAAGAACTTGCTCATCCACATATAGAGGATTTGTTCAATGTATTTCTGATATAGCAATACAATGGAAACCACTAAAAAAAGGGTGATCTATCTATCTGTACTGATATGGAAAAATGTCCACATGGGAAAATTATGTTGCAGAAAAATGTGCATCTATTAAAAACGCAAAAAAAAACCAACAAAAAATCCTAACTACTTTAGTGTATATTTACATGACTGACATAAACGTAAGATAATCTGAAAATATACACAACAGCTTTTACAGGTGGCTACCTCTGGGGAGTGAGAGAGGAGGAATAGGCACTTCTTACTTTTCTCACTTGTATGTTATGGTTTTTTTTCAAGAGAAAGATAAAAATACAAAAGGAAAAGTTAGTCCAACAGCGTTCTCACATAGCCCTTCTAAAAGGGAGAAAAGCCTCACGAGACACGTATGCCAAAAGAATGAAGCTAATTCAGTGCATACAACTGAAAACACTTTTTAAATAAAAATACCTGCTCACTGAAAGTGACACAGGTCTAACTGATAAATACAAATTGCTCCATTTCGAATTTGGTATCAGACTTACGATCTTCTCGAAAATATGTTTGCAACAACCCCAAGATTCTTTCTACTTCTTTTTCTGTTGCTTCTTGATGAGATTCTTCCATTCTTTTTAACTGAAAATACAAAGTCATCATCAAACAGACAGATGTACTTGCCTGTTAAGCTTTTCTGCGCTCTGACATATCCAAATTCCTCAAATGTCTTGTTCTAGGGGATTTCTAGCAGCTTTTAATCTATCTTAAAACGTACAGTTGAACAAAAAAAAGTTCTACTTTCAGTAACATTTCAGAAGAGTAACATTACCAAATCAGCCATTTTCAGGTTGACCATAAAATAGCAAAATACAAAAAGGGCACTTGGTTCTCAACAGGGAGTGACATGTGCCAATATTCAGCTGTCACAACTAGGAGGGGCAAAGAAAGATGCTATTGGCATCTAGTGGGAAGAGGCCAAGGATGCTGTTAAACATCCTACAATACATAAGACAGCCTCTCACAACAAAGAATTATGCAGCACCAATGGTAATAATGCTGAGGTTGAGAAACGCTGGTTTAGAATTGATTCAAACTACAGGAATGAGTTAAAACTAAGACAAATGGTCAA